TGTTCATCACGTTCAGAAAATACGTGTTTAAATAAGGTGACCAGACGTCCCGATTTTTTTTTGGGATAGTTCCGATTTTTCATCCTTTGTCCTGAATTTTTTCGAGTGCTATTCGGGACACCGATTTGTCATCATTTTCAATGACTCAAATAATTTTCGGATCTTTTTACCTCCCTCTCCCCGCCCCCCATTTCACACATTTATGAAGTGTCCCGAACTCAGGACTGGGAAATCTGGTCACCTTATACCGCGAAGAGAAATAAGAAGATTATTTACAAATGGCATCTTCACGATACGCCCCGGCGATCGCACATCGCTATTTTCGACACTCCCAATTATTTCCGCGTGAGATTTACTTTCGACGGGTTAAAGACGCGTAAATGAGGAGCAATGTTGATCGATATGTCCACGGCGGTTTCTCGATGCAAAAAGATCGAGAATCAAGATGGCCACGCGATTGTTGAATCGCGCTGAAAATATACGGCAATATATGAACAGCGCCGCGGCCGAAAAGAACGCGCTCTATAAGATACTTCTCTCTTCGTATCTCTTTTCCTAACAAGCTGACGCAACCGCCCGAATATTCTGCATCTCTCTTTCTCTCTCTCTCTCTCTCTCTCTTTCTCTCTGATTGTCATCGCATTTCTAATTCCCGTTCAATAAATCCGACGATCGCCCGATTCTATTGCTACTTGAGCAAGTCGATGTTATTAGGACCTTAACTTAGTTTCCGCCCAAAAAATACTGAGAAAAAGCATTTATTGTAAAAAATTTATTTAAATTATTTCAATGAAAGTATTTTCCATCACTTTCTACAACTTTTTGCCATCTTTCTGGCAACTGGGCGATACCATCTCGATAAAACGATGTTTGTTTCGAAGCAATCCATTCGTCCACCCATTCTCGCACTTCTTCAACATTTCGGAAGCGTGTACCACTCAAGCCGTGCTGCATCGATCTGAACAAGTGGTAATCAGAAGGCGCTATGTCTGGTGAGTACGCTGGGTGAGGAAGAGTTTCCCATTCGAGCTGCGTCAGTGTTTCTTTGACGGTTTTTCCAGTGTGTGGCCGAGCGTTATCGTGTAAGAGAATAACTTTGCGCCTGTTACTCGCTATTGCTGGTCTTTTTCGCAACAGCTCATCATTCAATTTGTTCAATTGACATTTGTAGACATCGGCAGTAACAGTTTCGTTTGGTTTCAGCAGTTCGTAGTACAGCACTCCTTGCTGATCCCACCAAATGCAAAGCATTACCTTATGACCGTGGATGTTCCGTTTTGGCTGCGATGTTGATGGTTGTCCTGGGTCTACCCATGATTTTTTGCGTTTGGGATTGTCGTAGTAGATCCACTTTTCATCGCCAGTCACAATACGCCACAGAAAACTCTTCTTTTTTTGCCTGGCAAGCAACGAAACCGTGATATTGAAACGGTTGTGAATGGCACTTTCAGACAATTCATGTGGTACCCATCTTCCTTCCTTTTGGATCTTTCCCATGGCGTGTAAACGTTTGGAAACAGCTGCTTCAGTAACTCCTAGCTCGTTTCCAAGTTCTTGTAACGTTCGAGCCGAGTTTTCATGCAATAATGCTAGCAATTCATCGTCTTGGAATTTTTTTGGCTGTCCTGAGCGTGGTTTGTCATTGACATCAAAATCATTACTTTTGAATCGTCTATACCACTCTTTACATGTTGTATGTGATGGAGCTCGATCACCATAACCTTCTTCAAGTAATCGATGAACTTCTGCTACACTTTTTTTCAAATCAAAATAGTGCAAAAGCACATGTCGAAAAAACACTTTATCGCGTTCCATTTTTCACAAAGCAAAAGAAATTGTTGTTTAGGAAAATAATTGTGTATGCTGACTGAATGTTATCGAGAAATGTCGAAATTAATCACAAACTACCTGTTTCGTTAGTAATGACTACTAGAACTGTTTGCATTGCCATCTAACATTTGCGGGCGGAAACTAAGTTAAGGTCCTAATATTAGCAAATGTAAGGGACGTCAGCGCGACATGTCGCGACAAGCACCGGCCGCATATACCGCGAGGAGAAACGAGAAAA